TTGTTAGGAAGAAAACCAGCATAATTCCCAGATAGAATCTTTACCGTTGGGAACGGATTAGAGGTTACGGTTTACGTGGTAGCAAGAACCGCGACAGGGACATGGACTGCGACAGTGACAAGTGAAAACCCACCAAACTGCACCTGAGTTTCTTGAGACATCACCCATTGGTGGTGGTCTCGTTACCCGCAACAACAATAGAGACATCAGCAACAATGTCGTTGACATCGGCAGCAACATTGGTCACATTTGCGGTTTCGTTTGCCATTTTTCTGAAAAGACAGAAACAAAAAATTTGTATCAGAAACGATTTAGTTTGAATCACAAATAAAATCATTAAGACTGGTTTCGATAGACAGTTTAAGGATTGCAACTCAAAAACAGTAATCAAAACAGACAATTATCGATGAATAAGCATTCGCAAACGATTAAACAAATCGAGTTCCTCCCAAATAGAAAGCAATTGACGAAAAAGTTTGTGAGGCGATCGCGATACAAGCTTTAGCGTAAGAAACGATTATGTTATCTCAATTCAATATGTCTGATGTTTTTAGAAACAACAGTCGGATTTGAAAAGGTTAAGACTATAGGACCAAAATTTGGAACACTACGACCTTGGCGATAAAATCACGATAAGAGAAACGTTAAGGGAAGAGATGAACAGTGGAGGCGAGACGAATTTTTTTCCTTAACCCTTTATTAAAATGTAGTTATTTTTCTTAACACAGTCTGTCACGATAATACAATTAAACCTTGAAATAATTAAAAGTAGTTATTTTTAGGGTTAATTAGCTGAATTTTACTTTTGAGACCAATATTTAGGAAATTAACATATCCAAAAAAATATTTAGGTAAGTAGGAGAGAGAATTAAAAATATGATAAAATTGTCCATACAACTATAATTAAAGTAAATATATATAACAAATCTCTAAAAATCTTCTCTTGATTTCATCCATGGTGCTCCTGCGATTGTATCTGTTCTGGAAAACCAAAAATTGGATTAGTAGATGACAAAAAATGATGTAATTGTTAACTATGTAATAGTAACATAGTTAACTATTTTTAAAATATTTCAGAACATAGTTAACTACATCATATTCTTTGTTACTATTTAAAATATAGTTAACTATTTTCAAAAAATAGTTACCAATTTAAAAATATATTCAACTATTTTCTACTCTACTGATTTCAAGACATAGTTGACTACATGAAAATATTGTTATAATAGTTAGTTATTCAAACAAATATAGTTAACTAATTTAAAACGTAGTTACCTATCATAATGAAAAAAAAACATACATAGTTATCTATTATCAAAAACATAATTATCTATTATAGTTTGTATAGTGAAAAATAATAATATACATAGTTAACTATTATCAGAAACATAGTTACCTATTATACTGATTTCCGAATATAGTCAACTATATCGATCTCCAAGCGGCGGCTCAGTTCAAGAGAAAGGACAAAGGGAGTTTAATGGAGGAGAAGAAACATCATCTTAACCATGGTTAGAGATTTTCGATTCATGACAATGAAATAAAAGAAAGTGATTGAGACTTAATTTTGTGGATCACCAAAAAGAGACGAGATCGAGTATGGTGTTTGTAT